AAAGGGGAGGTAACTATAATAATGGGTTTATCATACCTGTGGATTGGAGGCAGACTCCAGTCCTGTACTGTCTAACAGCGCCATCTGTAGGAGATCAGTCATTGCCTGTTTAAAACAGGACCTACCGGTACTGGTGGGCTCAGTGGTGACTAATGTCTATAATATACAACAGGTACAAAAAGTCAGGTAAAATTTTACTTGTATTTGTGGGCACAGTAGTGATTAATGTCTGCAATATACAACAGGTGAAAAAGTCAGGTAAGCTTTTACCTGAACCTTAATCTCATCAGTAATGCCAATACAATTATACATCCTAAATTATACAGAAGCTTTGGAGAGAGATTCACTACAAGTACAATAACTTGTTTCTCAAATCTGTGTTATGTAAGTGTTTGAACTAGACCTGGATGTAGAAGGGCACCCCGGCACTCCTACGAGTAGAGCACAACTTGGAGTCAGGGTCGTCTGCTTGAATGTCCACCATTACTTCCTTAAGCCATCTCCGTGGCAACTCATGAAGCTCCTGGATGTTACTCCTGAATAGATCAACAGCTTTGATTTGTACTCCAATAGAGGTTGAATGAAGGTTAGATCATGTCAGTGAGATAAATAGTTTACTTCTACGAGACAGCATTCTAACTGCTTTATAAGATCACTATGTAACAAGGTCAAACTTCACATCATTTTGTTTATATCTGGTACCATGTCAGCTTCTCTGATGTCACTGAATCAAATCAACTATGTCACACATTGTAGTTACCATCATTCATAGTTGCCATACATTTTAATCAGTACTAATGAAACATTTGGTCATTTTTTTTCTTTTTTCTATTTAAATAATTCACTGTACCTGTCAGCCATTACACTTTCAACAAGGATTGACAAAAGCTTAGCCAAACTAAAATTTGCTATACAAACCTCCAGAGCATGTCCGCCATTTTGACAAAACCTGCATAAGCCAGCTCAAAAGCACCCCTATGTACAGACTCCAGTAACTGTTTCCTGAAGTATTTCCCCATCACCAATATCTAAAACATAACACCCATATACAGAGGAAGGTAATGCTAATCCCGGTACCAACGTTATACCATTCTGTGGGGAATGTCTTGTTTGTTATGTTTGAGTTTTAAAAATCATTATTTTACAGAACAGAACAAATATTAAAAAGTATATTTCAGACAGTGAAGGTATCAAATGGTATATAAACAGAGTTTTCAGTATAGAAGCACTTCCATGTGAAAAAAACAAACTTTTTTTTAAAGATGTAAGCTTGTGTTTATTGGTATAAAACCATTTTTTTTACTGTAAAAAAGAAAATATATTTTACACTGTAAGATCAGGTCTGTGAAGTCAGAGACGGTAGAGAATCATCTGATTACATAAGAAGTCCCCTTGGGTCAGGCCTGTGATGGGGAGTGTTCAATGTGGGCATGTCCACATAATCACAGTACAACAGTCCCCAGGGGTCAGGCCTGTGATGGGGAGT